ACACACACACACACACACACACACACACGCCAAGTCCCCTCCCTGCTCTCATGACCTCTTGGATACAGCCACGTCTTGAGGTTCTGATGGTGGCAAACCCTGGAAATGGCCAACTGGTCGACCCCCGTCCTGACCATTTTGTGACTTCTGAGCCCCTGGGAGGGGTGGGAGTGGCCTGTGGACAGCCGGGACCCAGTGCAGCCGGAATTTCTTCCGGCTGTGCCAATCTTCTACCAGGATGCCCGCCAGGAGTAAGAGAATCGCAGCCCCGAGGCATATCCGGACCAGGTTCCCCTTAGTGTAGTCCTGATGGGCAAGGCCTGGGGAATGAAGAGAGATGGGAGCTCTGTCGTGGGCTTCTCATAGCCGTATTCCCTCACCTGGAGTCCTGTTACTCTGCTAGCTGGGATGCCAACCTCCTTCCAGCAGGGCCCCTCCCCTCTCCCCCAGGGTCAATAAGCCCAGTTCCCTGAGTAGAACCTCTTCCATCATCAGGCCTCGGATGCAACCCGCCCCTACACAGACACTCCCTGGCTATTTGGCAGATTGTGGAAGAAAAGGCTACTATAAGGGGGGTGGAGGTGGAATGGATCTTACTCTGATCTTCCAGAAGACCTCAACCTTCCCAAGTCTGAGCTCCATCTACTGTTATTTCCCCTCCCCCTCACACTGGGTGTATCAGGGCCCAAGATCCCAGAGCCATGGCTTCTGTATAGGGAAAGCAGTGAGCTTTAGATAAAGACACAGGGGTGGGGATAAGGAAGGTCCAGAGAGGAGAACCACTTACCAGTTGTAGAGCCTGGCCTCTTGGAAAAGATGGTGGTATCCCTAGAAGACTCTGGGATAATAAAAAAAAAAAAAGACTGTCAAATATCAGAGGGAAGGTGGGAGTGGGTGAGTGGATAGGAAGAGATTAGCCAAAGAACTTGTGTGCATAACCCATGGACACAGACAGTGGGTGGTGAGAACCTGGGGTGGAATTGGGTGGGCTGGAGGGGATAGATGGGGGAGGGGGGAGGAAGAGGACATATGTAATACTTTCAACAAAAAAGACTAAAAAAATCAGAAAAAAGACACAGGTGAGGAGAAAGAAAGTCCAGAGAGAACCACTTACCCGTTGTAGAGCCTGGCCCCCCTGAAAAGGTGGTGGTATCCCTAGAAGGCCCTGGGATAAAAATAATATTTTAAAAAGGAAGAACAGAGAAGCATGAAAAAGACTATCGAATCTCAGAGGGAAGGTGAGTGGGTGGATGGGAAGAAATTAACCAAAGACCTTGTATGCATATATGCACCACCCATGGACATAGTAGACAGTAGTGTGGTGAAGGCCTGGGGCAAGGGCAGATGTGGGCTAGAAGGGGTCAATGGGGGTAGGGGGGACATCTGTAATACTTTCAACAATAAAGT